ATTGGCAAGGGTGATTTGATGCTAAACTCTGGAATGTGGGCTGGAGTTACTTAGTCTGGGTGACTCGGTTCATACTGGGTCCTGGGATTTGGATCTGGAGCTGCACTTGTAGATTGGACTTAAGAGAGGGAGGAATCAGACTGCTTCAAGACATTGGCTGAGGCTACAGTTAGGATAGTTTAGGGTGACTTCTGAAAGAAGGTGTGATTTGAATCTGGCTTGAAGCAAGACAGATATTGAATAATTCAATCCAACTCAATGAATATTAGTTGGGCATCTACTCTGCACAATGGCTGGCAACCCAATGGTGAGTAAAATACAGTTCTTGCCTTGTAGGAGACCAAAAGGCAAAGAAATGACTGAAACATAATGTTATATTTGTATGGGGAGGAATGGAATGTGAAAAGGAAAACTATGGAGGAAAATTGAGAGAAGGGATAAAGTTTACCTGGGCCTTAAAAATGGGTCAAGCTTTGTTCTACAGTTAAGGCAGGGAAGGACTCTCAGTGGAGAAAACAGCCAGAATAAGAATAGAAGGCGTGAAAGTGAAGGTGACCTGGGAGGTGGCCTCTGTGGTTTGGTGGATGAGAGCACAGGATGAATTATGGTTAGGGGATCTGGACCTCAAACAAAGGTTAATGGGTTAAAAAGGGGGGTTTATTGGGTGTTAATGGGTGTTAACGAGAGGGGATTTATTATACGAACATTTAAATTTGTCAAAGTGTTTGTTTTAAGCAGAAGAATCACACAATTCAACTTACATTAGGAAGAGAATTTGGGCCAGAGGGTTAAAGAAGGCCTGCAGGAGAGGAAGGCCTGCAGGAAAGGAAGGGCAGAGGGAGGAATCCGGGCCGGGCAGCCAGGCGAGAGCCACACTTCAGCTAAACTAATTCCTGCTGAGATACTAAAGTAAATAATGGCTTAAGACACACTTCCTCTGAGTGAGCTGTTTGCCTTTGAATTGGCCCCTCCTCACCTGGAGGAGGTGTGACTTCTAGTGGATAGATTTGCCAGGCCACTGGGAAGATTTGCCAATTTTTGATTCATTCTTCCCAAGCCCATAACTGGCTCTTACTAGCTGTTCGGCCCTGAATGTGAAATGCAGTTTTGTGACCTGACTGAGAGTTCACAGGTCCTAGAGCCTGGGTTGCTTTATGATTTATTAAAAAAAAAAAAAAAGTTATGGTAAGAACACTTAACATGAGATCTGTCCTTGGAACACTTTTAAAGTGTGTAATACAGGACCGTTAACCACAGGCACAATTTTGTACCGTGGATCTCTAGAGCTTCTTCATGCTGCACAGCTGAAACTTCATGCCTGCTGACTAGCAACTCCCCATTTCCCCTTCTCCCCAACCTCTGATAACCACCATTCTATTCTCTGCTTCTATGAGTTTGACTATTTTAGATACCTCATGTGAGTGGAATCATACCGTATTTATCCTTTAATAGAACTACTTTATGATTCAGCAATCCTACTTCTGAGTGTTTATCCAAAAGAGTTGAAATCAGGATCTCAGAGAGATATTTGCACGCTCATATTTCTTGCAGCACTATTCACAATAGCTAAAATGTGGAAACAAACTAACTGTGCATCAACAAATGAATGGATAAAGAAAATGTGGTATATACAGCCAGCTCTCTGTATCCACAGGTTCAAGTAATCACAGATAAAAAATGTAGTATGAAAAAATCCCCAAACAATAAAAATAATACAAATAAAAAATACAGTATAACAACTATTTATATAGCATTTACCTTGTATTAGCTATTAAAAGTAATCTAGAGGTGATTTAAAGTGTATCAGAAGATGTATATAGGTTATATGCAAATATTATGCCATTTTATATAAGGGTCTTGTACAACCTTGGATTTTGGTATCCTTGAGGGTCCTAGAACAAATCTGGGGTAGATACCAAGTGACAACTGTAAATACAATATTATTCAACCTTGAAAAAGAAGGAAATACTGCCATATATGACAACATAGATGAAGACATATGCTCTGTGATTTTAAAAAATTGACCAACATGTGGTGGGAATGTAAATTAGTTCAACCATTGCAGGTGACAGTGTGGCGATTCCTCAAGGATCTAGAAGCAGAAATACCATTTGAACCAGTAATCCCATTACTGGGTATATACCCAAAAGAACATAAATCATTTTACTATAAAGGCACGTGCATATGTATATTTATTGCAGCACTATTTACAACCCAAATGCCCATCAATGGAACCAACCCAAATGCTCATCAATGATAGACTGGATAAAGAAAATGTGGTACATATACATCATGGAATACTATGCAGCCATAAAAAGGAATGAGATCATGTCCTTTGCAGTGACGTAGATGAAGCCGGAAGTCATTATCCTCAGCAAACTAACACAGGAAAAGAAAACTAAACACCGCATGTCCTCACTCATAAGTGGGAGTTGAACAATGAGAACACATGGACACAGGGAGGGGAACAACACACACTGGGGCCAGTTGGGCGGTCGGGGGCGAGGGGAGGGAGAGCATTAGGATAAACAGCTAATGCATGCGGGGCTTAAAATCTAAATGATGGGTTGATAGGTGCAGCAAACCACTATGGCACACATATACCTATGTAACAAACCTACACGTTCTGCATTTGTATTCCAGAACTTAAACTAAAATTAAAAAAAAAAGATTAAAGAAAATTGACCAACACGAGTGTTTACTCTCTGTACCCTGAAGAGTGCCTCCTCACATCAAAACCATTCCACATGAGGATCCCCTAGAAGATTTCAAGCACACCAGTGCTGAGGGCAGAGTCAACAACTTGTCTTTTCCCCCAGTGGTGTTCAGCCTGGGAACCAGGACTTATAAGCCCAATTATTATTACTATATGGATTCTTATTATCAAAGTTCTGGATGTCACATTTTCTCAACTGTAAGAAAAGCTGTTGCTTTAAGTGTTAGTAAATGCGTTAGAAAGTTCTGTGAATTTACAATAGCAAAGACATGGACTCCACCTAGGTGCCCAATCAACGGCGGATTGGATAAAGAAAATGTGGTCCATATACACCATGGAATACTATGCAGCCATAGAAAAGGATGAAATCATGTCTTTTGCAGCAACGTGGATGCAACTGGAGGCCATTATCCTAAGTGAGTTAACAGGAACAGAAAACCAAATACTGAGAGAGGGAGGAGGCCAAGGGCTGAAAAATTACCTATCAGGTACTATGTTCGCTATTTGGGTGACAGATTCAATTGAAACACAAATCTCAGCATTATGTAATATATCCAGATAACCTGCAGATCTAACTCCTGAGTCTAAAATAAACATATAAAATAAAATATAAAAAAGAAAGTTATGAATTAAAACAAAATTAAAATGATATTAAAACTGCTCTCTTTTTCCATTCTTTCATTCTTTTCTACCTACCCCCTTCCTTACAAATCCAACAAACATACTCTCTCTGCCAATAAACTATATTTTAGAATAACAATCGATAAATCCTATGGTTTGATTCTGTCCTGGTTGTGAAGTAATGACATACTAGAAGGAGTGTGTCAGCTCAGAAATAAAAACAATTAGGTATTATTCTTTTCAAGGGCACTAACTGGGGTAATTACTTCACTTTTCTATGCCTTAATTGCTGTAACATAAGGGGTTAGACTGGGCTCTGTCTCCACAGTTCTGTCTGAGTCTAAGCATCAGTTTCTCTAAACAATGCAGGAGTGATAGAATACTTTTTTACATGGTGGAAAAACTTGAACACTGCTTTGGAAAGTTGATTAACCTTTAAAATGGGTATTTGTTGATTGCTTTCTTGGTGTCTATTTCTTCATTTCTTTAACAGACTTGGGTTTTTGTCTCTAGGGTCTTGTTCTGCTTTGCTCAGCTATGCATCTGGCATGGACTGGATACCATGGATACCACATCTGGCTCCAGCGGTGGAACCTGCCCGGCTTAAACCAACCAGTATATCCCTTTCTGGCGAATGGTGAGAAACAGCCAGGCAAGGAACCAGATTCTGCCTGCCTTTGTGGGCCACGTGAAGGAGTTTGGGCTTTACTTAAAGCAGAGTGGGCGGCCTCTGCAGGGTTTTAAACAAGGAGCAGCTTGGTCAAATCCGCATTCCATTTGGTCTGGCTCAGGGTCATGAGGCCCCCACTCCAGTTTCATTCCTCTGTGTGTTTGCACTGTTCCCTCAGCTTCCTCTCTGACTGCTGCCTCTTTGCTTTTAAAACACCCTGAAATTGACCGGAGAAAAGAATGAAATGGGCACTGTGTGTTCCTAGTACTTGTTCCAGCACTCCCTTTGTGGCAATTTGTTTTTCCCGGTAAATACAATTCACCCTTTCTTAATTATGATTTGAGTTTTTGGTAGCTCTGACTTGTAAATTGGCACTAATATTCAGCTTTTTCAATCTTAAAAATGGGATCCAGCAGTGGAGGTGTGGGCTTTAATAACCTTGTCTGTGACTGGTTTCCCTGTGGCAAGCAGCTGCCAGTGGGGCTCATACTGTGGCCCTTCTCTGGGGTCTTGTTTTGTGCAGCCGGAGCGCAGTATCACCCAGCACTTATCCCAGCAGCGAGGAGCTGCACAGACTGACTTGCAGATATCTCTGTCCTTACTCCTTCCAAATGGTCTTCATAATGGAAATCAAATTTAGCTCCAAACAGGATCACCTGAAGCCCTTAGTCCCGTCTTGCATTTGTTGGTTGCACCCCAGAGCAAGCTCATTCCTTTGCTTTCTTTCACTCCAAAGGGTTGAACCTTCTTTCTGAGTCTGCCTGTAAACTCCTGGAGGGGCCAGAGCCTCTTCCAGTTGCTTCTTCTACAGAGAGCTCTGGGCACAGTGAGTGCTGGATAACACCAGTAGAATGACTGAAAGGGCAGAGAAATTAAAAAGTTCTGAGTCTGGGTGTTTTTTTTTTTTTTTTTTGCAACAGGATCTGGCTCTGTCACACAGGCTGGAGTGCAGTGGTGCAATCTCGGCTCACTGCAACCACTACCTTCCAGGCTCAAGCAATCCTCCCACCTCAGCCTCCAGACTACAGGTATATGCCACCACATCTGGCTAATTTTTGTATTTTTTGTAGAGATGGAGTTTCTCCATGTTGTCTAGGCTGGTCTCAAACTTCTGGGCTCAAGCGATTCTCCTGCTTCGGCCTCCCAAGGTGTTGGGATTACAGGTGTGAGTCACTATGCCTGACCAGTTTAGGTGTCTTTTGTTTGCTAATGAGGTAGCTGGGGGCCCCTAGGTAGCCTCAGGATGGGGCTGGTCACCCAGAAAGACCAAAGCATGATTAGAGGGTTGGGACTTTCATCCCTACTCTCAACCCTCTGGTATGGTAGAGGGGCTAAAGATTGAATTGTTCACTAATACCCAATGATTTAACTAGTTGTGCCTATGTAATGAAGCCTCCATAAAAGCCCAAAGAACTGGATTTGGGGGAGCTTCCTAATAGATGAACTTGTGGGGGTTCCTGGAGGGTGGTGTTTACTTGATCCATACCTTGCCCTGTGCATCTTTTAATAAATGGGTAAATAAAGTGTTTTCCTGAGTTCTGTTAGCCACTCTAGCAAATCAATTGCACCCAAGGAAAGGGTTGTGGGAACCCCGGTTTATACCCAGTCAGTCAGACATGGTGACAACGTACTACTTGCCACTGGCATCTGAAGTGAGGGGCTGTCTTGTGGTACTGAGCCTTCAACCTGTACTATCTGATGCTATCTACAGGTGGACAGTGTCAGAATTGAATTGAATTAGAGGATACTCAGCTGGTGTCTTCTATAGAACTGCTTGCTTGTCATGTGTGGAAAACTCCCACAAATCTGATGTCTGAAGTGCTGTATTGAGTGGATGATAGAGAGTAGGGAAAAGCAATTCCTCCTGCCTTATCTCTTGTAATAGATTTTTCTGCTTTATGTTGATTATTATTCAACCTGGCTCTCTTTTTCCCTCAACTTTGCTTTCCATGTCTCTACAGCACGTTTCACCATCAGACAGTATTGTATATTTTATGTTTTGCTAATTTACTTGTTTATTGTCTGCTTCCCTGCACTGGGGTATAAGCTCCACAAGGGAAGAGAGTCTGTTCTGACTCGCACAGTGAGAGTCTGATTTCCAGCACCGCACAGTGCTTGGTACAGGTGCTCTATGAATATCTATTGAGCGAATCTGTCCCACTTTTGAAGATGGTTTATTCTTTGGATTTTGCCTGCCTTTTCTTGACTCCTCTCTAGGGCTGGAGTTGTCTGGTAGAATATCTGGCTGTTTGGACTCATGTTGTTTTGCTTTGCTCTGTCGTGCTTTGAAGATCACACTATCAAGGTATCCAGGTACTTGGAAAGAAGGCAAAGTGCCATCAGGCCAGCAGCTCGCTAACAATCTTGAAGATTTTATTTAGATGAGAGCTGTTTGGTTTATTTGGAATCCATTGGGGTTACTTTTTATCCAGAAATAATGACTTACCGGGCTTACTGTGTACTCTACTGAATACCTTGCCTATCTTTGCTTGATTCATTCTGAGAATAAATCTATGAGGTTCATATTAGTACCTAAATCTTACAGGTGAGAAAACTGAGGCACAGACTGGTTAAGAAAATTGAAGGTCACACAGGGAGTTAGTGGCCATACTGGGAACTGAATCCAGGTCTTGCTGACTGCAGTGTTCATGTATTTAACCGAGAGGCTGTTTGGACTTGCTATTAGGGGCTTCAACTGTACATTTGTACCAATTCTTTGACTTGTTCTCATTGGTTCCTGAGACCAGAGATTTTCCTGCTTTGCTGACATTCTTCACCTTAGTGCTGGAGCATATTTTAAATAATAAAGGATGGCATACAGGATTTTATGTTCAATATCACTGTAATTGCTTACAATAATTTAAGTGATCAGATAGACACATAATGCATGTTAATGCAGTTAATGTTTGTTTCAAAACAATATATATTTCAAAATGATGCAGAACAGTAGTTCTCAAACGTCAGAGTATATCAAGGTAGAGCTTACAAAAATTGAAAATGTTGACTCTTATGCCCAGGGATTCTTTTCTGTCTTATTTTAAAAAAAATATTTATTTAATTTTTAAAAAATTGATAAATAATATTTGTATATATTCATGGGGTATATAGCAATGTTTTGATACATATAAAGTACAGTGATCACATCAGGGTACTTAGCATACCCATCATCTTAAACATTTATCATTTCTTTGTGTTGGGAGTGTTCAATATCCTTCTTCTAGCTATTTGAGACTATATAACATATTATTGTTAACTATTGTCATCCTAGTGGCATAGAACACTAGAATGTATTTCTTCTTTCTAGCTGAAGTTTTATATCCTTTAACAAATCTCTCTCCATTCCCCCCTTTCCCCTATCCTTCCCAGCCTCTAGTATCCTGTTTTTCTTCTTACTTCTATGATATCTTTTTCTTTGCTTCTACAGATGAGTGAGAACACGTGATGTTTAACTTTCTGTTCCTGGCTCATTTTACTTAACATAATGTCCTCCAGTTCCATCCAAGTTATTGTGAGTGACAGGATTTCATCCTTTTTTATGGCTGAATAGTATTCCATTGTGTATATATACTACATTTTCCTTATCTATTCATCTGTTGTTGGACACCTAGGTTGATTCTATATCTTAGTTATTATGAATAGTGCTGCAATAAACATGGGAGTACAAATGTCTCTGTGATATACTGATTTCCTTTCCTTTGGATAAATTCCCAGTAGAGGGGTTGCTAAATCATACAGTAGTTCTATATGTAGTTTTTTGAGGAACCTCCATACTATTTTCCTAACTAGCTGTATTAGTTTACATTTCCAACAGAGTAGAAGAGTTCCCTTTTGTCTGCATCCTTGCCAGCATTTGTTATTTTTTGACTTTTTCATAATAGCCATCCTAATTAGGGTCCCAGAGATTCTGACCCAGCTGATATAAATGTTTAACAAGACTGCTCAGGTGATTTTGCTGTCAATGGTTCTTGATCATCATTTAAGAAATACTAACAGGTAAACATCAGGAAAAACACAGGATTAAGGAAGTCTTATATGTAGTCCCAGACAGAGGCTAACAGACTTCAGAGCTCTATTTGCATGACAACTTGATAGGTGCCCTGAAAATATGGTAAAGAAAATTTGGAATTGTTGATTGATCCTCAAGATAAGGAGACTAAAATTCTCCAGTAAGGTGTTATGCAAGGCTGTGTGTGTGGGTGTGTGTGTGCATGTGTATGCTTGTGTGTGTTGATGTGAGGTATGTGTGGGGATATAAAATAGTCTCTCTTTATCTTTGGGGATCCATTTCCAAGACTCTCACCAGATGTCTAAAACTAAGGATAGTACTGAGTTCTATATATACTATGTTTCCTTGTATACATACATACCTATGATAAAGTTTAACATGTAAATTAGGTACAGCAAGAGATTAACCACAATAATTGATAATAGAACAATTATAACAACATACTATACTAAAAGTTATGTGAATGTTATCTCTCTCTTTTAAAATCTTATTTTCTGTACAGGCATATTTGGAGATATTATAGGTTTGGTTCTAGACAATTATAATAAAACAAATATCTCAGTAAAGTGAGTCACACTTTTTTTTTCGTTTCCCAGTGCATACGAAAGTTATGTTTACATGACACTGTAGCTTATTAAGTGTCTAGAAAAATCACATATATATCTTAAATAAAAAATAGCTTATTCTTGGCTGGGTGTAGTAGCTCATGCCTGTGATCCTAGTACTTTGGGAGGCCAAGACGGGCGGATCACCTGAGGTCAGGAGTTCAAGACCAGCCTGGCCAACATGGTGAAACCTTGGCTTTACTAAAAATATAAAAATTAGCCAGGTGTGGTGGTGCACACCTGTAATCCCAGCTACTTGGGAGGCTGAGAGAGAATCACTTGAATCTGGGAGGCAGAGGTTGCAGCGAGCCCAGATCACACCACTGCATTCCAGCCTGGAAAACAAAAGTGAGACTCCACCTCAAAAAAAAAAAAAAAAAATGCTTATTCTTAAAAAGTGCTGACAGACATGAAGTGAGCACATGCTGTTGGAAAATTGGTGCCAATAAACTGCTCAACGCAGCATTGCTGCAAAACTTCAATTTGTAAAAAATGCAATATCTGTGAAGTAAAATAAAGTGAAGTTTGCCTATAGCCATCTATCTTTGGACCACAGGTAACTGAAACCATGGAAGGTGAAACTACAGATAAGAGGGTACTACTGTACAAGAAGTATAATGATACTCACGTATAGGGCGAGATCAAGTTGCCTAACTACCTTGGTGGAACAGTGACATAATCAGTGGGAAGAGACTTGTTGAGCAGGTTATTTAAGCTGCCACTCAAATATTTTCTGACTTTGCCCAGGGGATTGCTTTTCTTGAGTTATTTGGAAGATAGTTCTGAAGGAAACTAAAAGAGTAAGCTACCCTTTATGGGAGATTTATTAAAAAACAGAGAGATCCCACTTAAAGGTCTGGTAGAAAGTTACAATGATGGAAAGAGAATCCTCCCTTCTATTTGAGAGAGCCACAGGATCAACTCAGGAGACTGACAGGGCAACACTGAGAGGCTAGAGAAGGCGGCGGTGAAGGCATTCATGTTGTTAGGGTGGCATCACTAGCACGACAGGGCAGCATCAGCAGGGCTGGGGGGGAGTGGAGGGAATGACTCGGACCACTTCAGTAGGGGGAAGGCTAGGCCTTGGGTTCTCAGTGGTTTCTCTGGGTGGTGGCTTAGAGCGCTGTTAAACCAGGCTCTTAATAATAACTAACACTTAGTAGAGTACCTTACTATGTGCTGAGTCCTTATGTAAATTGTTTGTTTTACTACTTGAATGAGAAATTGTTTTTCTCGTTGATCTAGCAAGTGGCAGAGGTGGGAAATGAACCCAGACAGCTAGCTTCGGAGTCAGTGTGCATAAGTGCTGGGCTGTATGTTTTCTTCTATGTACCTTAATGCCAGTTAGTGCTCCCTGTTCTAGATGTGCAGATCATGCAGGTGAGACCCTGGAGAGCTACTTTTCAAGCACATACCATTATTAATTGGTGAGGTAAAAGGCGGGGTTCATTATAAACTTCTACCTGGAAAATGATTCTCAAAGAACATCCCTTGCCCATACCAGACCCATAGAAGCTAGTTGATACATGTTTACTTGAATGAAGAATAAAAAACTCCTGCTTACAATGGTTTGAGAATATTGTCTTTGAGTACCGTACACTAAAAAACTTATTGTAATGACAACAGCCAGAGGCCATTCATCTTCATAAGCTGAACTGCTTAATGTAGGCTGAAAAAAATAGACCTTTTTTTTATTTCACAGTCAGAAAAATGACTTTTTGACAAAAATGAAAAACCCAAAACAATATTTTATTGAAAAAACAAAAAAGTCCAGACCCTGGTATTCTCCTTCTCCCCAGTTCCAGGAGGGTCTGATTTGAAAAGAAGCCCTTTACCCGCCTAACTGGGTTATTTTAATATTATATTGATAGTTTATAATGAACCACCTATACTATGCTTCTGCCCGTGAAGAACTTATGTTCCATTCAGAGGAAAAAATAAGTTTGTTTACTCACTTTTCCCTGTTCTCAGAGCTTTCTAATACTGATTCACTTCTTTTTTTTGCTCAAGAAAATAGGATGCAAGAGTAGAAGCTGATCCTCGAGGCTTGCGAAAGTGGGGTTCTTTCTGAAAGTGAAGCCAGCAGCCAAGAGCCACCCTTCAGAAGATAAAAGGAAGAGCAGCTGCAAGAGCGATGGCCACAGCAACGCATGGGTCCCGTCTGTCCACGTAGTCCTCTCCATCTGCCTGTAACTTGCCAGGTCTTCTACCCACACTGGGGAAATTCCAGCTGCCAACCCTCTTTGGGTTGCACCTCCCCTTTTTGCACACAGCTCTATTGGGAAGGCAGCTGTCATGTGTCTATTTGAAAGACAAGAAACCAGTCTAGTTGCGGAAAAGAGATTTAGATTACATCAGAATAACAATGCAAATCATTTGTGCAGTTCTTAGTACAGAAAACAGATGTAGGAACAAAAATTGGGAGAGTTAAAGAAAGTGGTTTTTTATTCTGTCATCAAAATTGTTTTTTAAAAACATGTCACAAAAAAACACATCTGTAGTAAGATAAATAATTGTGTGCTGGCTTCATAAACAGAATGAATGGTTGAATTCACACAACATTATTTACTGTTTCAGGGCACACACACGTGGTTTCCAAGTGGTTTCTTGCCACTTTGGCCTTCAACTGGCCTTGATATTTTCCACTGAGGGTTGTCTGATTGTCTCCACCACAGCCCTGAGTCTAAGCAAAAGCCCATGGGTTGGTTGACTGGTGTTCCTGTCGTCCTTGGGAGTGGACAGACTGGCAGATGTGGGGCTAGTGGGGAAGATTCTCATAAACAGTTTATTTGTTGTAAGAACTCCAATTGGAATGTGGCTTCCAATCATGGGAGGAGGACTGCTTTAGAACAAGTTAGAGAGAGTGTGTGTGTGTGTGTGTGTCACACACTTGGTGCTTGGTGTTGCTGTTTTGTATCATTTCACCCTTTAGTCTGAAATAGAAACTTATTTATTGAGATTTGTTGATTCATGTTGCTGATGATACATGGTAGTGTCACAAGTATGGGAAGAACTTCTAAGTGTGTGGTAATTCAGCCTTTTTCTTTTTTCTTTTTTTTTTTTTTTGTTGCTCTTTCCCTCTACACCTTGATCTTGAAAAGCCCGGCAAGGATTTTACACAGAGACAAGTCTTTAAAGGCTCTCCAGGCCTCAGCGATACCATGTTGTAAATAATCCTCTTCCTGGTGCTAAGCTTTTAATGAAGCAGTGAAGAAAATAAGATGCAAATCCCAATCAGATGAGGCCTTGTTGCATAGTGTATCAGAAAACAGCTGAGAACTCAAACAGCAGCTGCTTTTTCTTTTTCAGGAAACTTTCTATAATAATACCAATAAAACCCAAGACTATTATTCTGAACAGAAACAAGAAATACAGCTGGAGCCATTTCCTATCCACCTGATGAAGGGCACTACCAGGCACTCACTCTGGCTCTGTCCACCGATGCCTGTGCCCACTTTGTGTGACGTAGCTTCCATGGAGACAAGAGCAATGGTAATGGAAGAAGAAAGTCTGGATGTACTCGTGCAGAAAGAGAAAGCTTCATGGAACAATATTAATCTTCTGGTCATCTCTGCGCCCATAAAGTTGTCAGATTGACTTTGGATTTAAAGCCTGAAAATGAGTCCCAAGGAAGTCCATTGACATGAGGCCCAAGGAAGACAGTTTTTGGAAGGGGCAAGACAGGAAGGATGGTTTGGTCACTGTGAGGAAGAGGAGGGTAGAAAAGCCTCAGGACATCAGAATCTTTAGGAAGTGGCTACTGACAATCAAGCAGAGTTTTCTCCCTGTGGGTCTCTATCCATTTAGTGGCTTTTTGTGCTAAGCAGCTCAGTGACTGCCTTCTGCTCCAGATGTGACCTTCAGTCTCTGTTGCTCCTTTCTGCTGGCAATGCTCAGTGTAATTTCAGCCACAAAGGAAAGGAGGTGAAGTGAACATCAGTGGGAGCCTAAAAAGTTAAACAACGGATGTGTTTTCCCAGTGTAGAGAAAAGCTTGCTTCTCCATCCCCAGGACTTTGTGCCCTGCTCACCTGGAAGGTAAGCAGCAAGCTGCTGGGGCACAAGGAGCCTGTGAGTGACTGAGAGCAATGATGAGCTCATCCCCTCCTTTAGGCACCTCACCTTCTGCTTCAACCATTTCGGTGGTTTCTTAGTTTGTTTCCCTGCCTACTGTTGCCTCTTCTCATTCAGAGTTCATTCTGACGACAGCCACTAAATTAGTCATCCTCAGGAAGAGCCTGGGTCATGCCTCAAACTCTGCAGAGGCTCCTGAGGGCTCACTGAATGATGCTTAAGCCCCTTGCCTGCCCCTCGAGACGTGGTACAGTCAGGCTCTGCTTCCCTTTCCCCATCTGTGCTGCTTACACTCCGTTGGACCCTTCAGGTGCTTTTCTGCCATGCTCTGGAATTTGGGGGACTGGCTTCTACATGCTTCACTGGGGCTTCCTCACTCTCTGGCTTTTCATTGGGTTTGACCATTGACAGAGGGAAGTGGATGTCTGGATACTTATTCCTCCCCTCTCTTCCTGTCAGTCCTTGATTCTGGCAGTAACCAAGTCTTGTTTCTCTACCCAGGCCACGACTCCTATCAAGCCACCCCTCTTTCACAGTGTTCTGGTAACTCCACTTCTTTTGCTCCTTCAGATCCGTGGCTGGAAATGGCCGCATGCTGTTGCTCATCTCTGTTGGCTTCGACATCCCAGGGTTGATAGTTTACCTTGCCCATTCCTCTTAAAGAATAGATTTATTCAATAATTTCCCTTTACTTTCTTGGGTGTGTCACCTCTTTCTTGCTGAAATCCTATCTCCATCCTCTCCTCTCTTGTCCAAGCAAAACAGCCACTTGCTATTCCTCAAACATAGTACTTTCTCTTCTCTGTGACTTTTCATTTGCTAGCTTTCTTCATCTAGTCCCAAGGAAACTCAGGTTTGGAGGATCCTAATCAGCGGTCCAGTAATCAGATGCTTCCATTCTCTCTGCATCTCCTGCTAAATGATTGTCTAGTCTTTGTTGAAATATTTGTAAGGCAGGAATTCATTGCCTATTAAGGCATCAGTATTTATTCATTCAGTTCATTCAGTGAACATTGTTGCTGCCTCCTACCATGTGCCAAGTGCTGTGCATGGTGTCTCTTCTCAAGAAGCTCAAAACAGTGAGGAGATGAACGTATGAATAAGCAATTTTGGGACAATGTGATATGGATTACTTTGGTGTTATTCAGAAGTGCTTTGAAAGCACAGACAGCTGAGATGGGATGGAGTGCAGTCTTGCTCTGTTGCCCAGGCTCATCTGATATGAAATGGAGTCTCACTCTGTCCCCTAGGCTGGAGTGCAGTGGCATGATCTCAGCTCACTGCAACCCCACCTCCCAGGTTCAGGAGATTCTCCTGCCTCAGCCTCCCAAGTATCTGGGATTACAGGTGCCCGCCGCCACACCTGGCTATTCCTTGATAGGTTTTTAAGCTCCATGAGGACAGAGTCCTTGTCTTGATTATCATGGAATCCCCTTTATTTAGCATTTTATGAGGTTGAAATCAAGACGTCAGCCTGGCTGAAATTTTCCCTGAAAGAAAGTTTTTTTTTTTTTCTGGAGGAAAAATCCAGTTCCAAGCTCATTTTTGTTATCAGCAGAATTCAGTCCTCTGCATTTGTAGTACTGAGGTCCCCATTTTTTTAGTAGTTACTGCCAGCCAGAGAAGACTCTGCCTTTAAAGGGGTCATGCAATTAGGTCAGGACCACCTGGATAATCTCCCTTTCTAAAGTCACTTCTGCCATATAACATAACCTAATCCTGGGAGGCAAATCCATCAAATTCCCAATCTGGGGGATTAGGTGGAGCATGTACACCAGAGGAAGAAGAGGGAAATCTTGGGGAAAATTCTAGAATTCTGGTAGGAAGCAACATAAATTGAAAATAGTATATATGATATGTTCAATCAAAATAGACAAGCTTAATCAATGGTTTCAGAACTCAAGACAGTAATGACCCTTAGGGTCAAGGAGGCAGAGAAACAATAGCATACATGAAAAGGAAGTATTCAGTCAATGGGTACACACTCATTGCCTTCCAGATGCTAAAGAGAACCTAGCCATGCCATGCTGGCCTTATGGTCTACAAAACTATGCATTAATAAGTGGGATTTTTGAAAAAATGTTACTTTAAGTTCTGGGATACATGTGCAGAATGTGCATGTTTGTTAGATAGGTATATATGTGCCATGGTGGTTTGCTGCACTTATCAACCTGTCATCTAGGTTTTAAGCCCCACATGCATTAGGTATTTGTCCTAATGCTCTCCCTCGCCTTTCCCCCATCCCCAACAGGCCCCGGTGTGTGATGTTCCCCTCCCTGTGTCCACGTGTTCTCATTGTTCAACTCCCATAAGTGGAATTTTTTAAAGCTGCTAAATTTGTGGTAATTTTTACTCATCGATAGAAAAGTAATACAAGACCTCAACTCCTGACTAGTCTGTGGGTAGTAATCTTATCAAACAAGTTGCCTCATTATATAAACATTTTGCAGCTACTTTATTACAGAGGACTCATCAGGAAGTTATGTTGCTCAAAACTAGGCATTTTGTAGATGCTTTCTTAAGATTGATTTATGGCCAAGATGACCTTTAGTCTATACCAGTTTTATCAGATTTCAAGAATAAAATGATTCCATCACAGTAGTGGTTTTTTTTTTTTCCTCTAAGCTTGACTATTAGCTCAAATGATTGTCAAGAGCTCTGCATTTACCTGGAAATATAGAAATGCTGAATTCTAGGTACATGTCAGCCAGTGAGTTTGAAACCTGGCTTTGCTTATTATTATATATATGCCATGGACGAGTTACGCCCTTAAAAACCTTAAGCTTTTCATTTGTAAAATGGGTATAGTAGCACCTTCCTTGCAAACTGTCTGTAAGGCTTGAAGATGGGGTATATAAAGTGCCACTCTACTTCTTCATACCCTCTCCTTCATCTTTCCTTGATCCTTTTTCCCTTTCTCTTTTTAAGATGTGATTTTACAGAAAGGTACTAAAAATAAACAAAGGAAAGAAAATGTTAGGAAAAGCCTTTTAGGTTTTAGCGTTAATTTCTGTTGTGAGTTCACTTGTCTATAAAGTTATACTTGGTACCATGACGAACACTGAGAAGTGTTTCCTGCCCGAAGGGGACAGACATTCTGAAGGAGACGGGATGGCTTCACATAATCTATCTTTTTATTTTTGTGTTGGCTCAGTATTCTCTTTTTCTGATTACAAGGGTGTGGTTCCTTTAGGAAGTGGGATTGCTCTAGTGTATTTTATAAGACCAGTGAAGTAATCTTTCCACTGTGACCTATCCTTGGATGGGGGAATGGGAATGGGAGGAAGAAATGTGGATTTTTTTCAAGGTAGTGGCACATGAGCGACAGCCTTTGCTGCTTGTGGTATACAGGATGTTTCTGTAACAGAGCATATAAACACAACATTCATGACTAAGTGTTTTGTAGAATGGAAAAATCAATGACTAGACTAGGAAGGAAACCATCATTATGGACAAATACCATGGCTGGTGTCAGTTGCACAGAAGGACCATAGACCTGATGCAGGCGCTGTTGAAGATGTCCAAGTTACTCAAAAGCCATTAAAACATCAGTTTTAATTTTTCCGATTGTTTCCCAAAACACACAGATGAAAATCCTGTGTGGTTGACTTTGGCTGCTGTTACATGAAATTTTACAAAGCTTAGGAGATCTATTTTTTTTCCGTAAAAACCAGTGGAATTCTAATGTGACACTTGGGAATTGTGTTTGAATTCTGAATGTGTGTTTATGTCTCAATTTCCCACCAACACAGATGTTTACTTCAGAAAGACAGTCACTCTAGACCTTTCCTGGACTCTCACCCAAGTTTTTCACAAGAATAGTGTATCATTATGTAAGAGAGCAGCTGCTGGTATCTTTTACACTTTTTTGGAAAGTTCTTTAATTTTTTCTTCATGAGAGTTTCCACAGGGGTGGAATCATTTTGTTTTAGTGTTAGAATATATTGTCTTTGAAGGGAAACTAGTTAACTCCTATAAGCTGAGGGAAAAGAAAGAGAATGGATGTAGAACTGGTGTAGCCGATGTTGCTAAAATAGATTGCGTCACGGTCAAATGGGAATGAACATTGAAATAATAAAATATCATTCTTATTCCACAATAGAGAGAAGAGGGTTAGCCCCTTGACAATGGAAAGGAATAAGGGAGAAAAAACAGATGAAGGAGAGTATGAAGAAGTAGAGTGGCACTTTATATACCCCATCTCCAAGCGTCACAGACAGCTTGCAAGGTAGGAGTCACTATGCCCATTTTACAAATGAAAAACTTGAGGTTTTGAAGGGGGTCACTTGTCCATGGCATACATATAATAAAAAACAAATCCAGGTTTCAAACTTACTGGTTGACAAGTACCTGGAATTCAGCATTTCTATGTTGCCAGGTTTCCAGTATCAGATGGAAATAACCATATCTAATCAGCAATAAATAAGACATAATTATACTCCTTACCGTATAAAGTTTTCTAAACACTAAGTAAATTGAATAAACTGAGACTCTAGTAAGCAGTCTTAAAGCATTTGACTCAATATAATTCAGGATCATAGTATAGTTTACAGATATTTTTATCTTTCTAATTTCTTCATTCTCTTTGCATCAAGTTAGAATGAGAGGAAAGGCCTTTATCTAGTGCTCAAATTAAGAGTTTGTTACAGAGAAAGTTGGTAGGCATTTTTGAGAAAGACTTTTGGAAAGATTTTGGAACAGAATTGCGGTTCTGAGAAGAATGAAGACGGTGAGTGAATCCTGTACTGGCAACTGAGGTATCCAGGTTCTCTCATTGGGAATGACTAGGTGGCTGGCATGACTCACAGAGAGCCAGGAAAAGCAGGTTGCTGTGACAGCCTACCCAGGATCTGTAAGAGGCGAAGGGAGCTGCCATCCCCAGCCAAGGGAGGCAGTGAGTGATTGTGCTACCCTGCCCAGGAAATGGGCAAATTTTCCATGGATCTGTGCAACCTGAGGATCAGGAGATACCCTCATGAGCCCACGCCACCAGAAACTTGGGTTCCAAGCACAGAGCTATGCAGACGCTAGATGGCTGATCCACTGGAGACTGCCTAAGACTACTGAGTTCCTGGGAGGGTGGGACAGCCGTTATCACTGTGGCTGCCTGCTGCCTAAGATGACTGAGCTTTTTGAGGGAGGAGTGGCAGCCATCACTGCAGCTCCAGTTTGCCGTTTTCCCCTGCCGGTCCCGGGCTGACTGAACGGTTTGGACCCAGGAAGCATTCCCCACAGCACAGCACAGCAATTGTGGCAGATCATGGTCAGGCTGCCTGTTTAGTCTGAAGCTGGACCCATCTCTCCTCATTGAGTGGGGCCTCCCTGTGGGAATTTCAGTAACTCCAACCTAGGGGTTTACAGACAGAACTCTGATCTGCCTGGGATGGAGTGCCTGTGGGGAAGAGTGCACGTGGTCTCTGTGGATCAGTGAACCTAGTCTTTTCCCCTGCTGGCTCTGAGGAATCTGGGCAGTCCTGATGAGTAAGATTCCCCCCAGTGCAGTGCACCTCGTCCAACAAGGGGCAGCCAGAGTGCTTTGTTAAGAGGGTCGCTGATCCTGTGCCTGCTGGCTGGGTAAGATTTCCCAACAGGGTTTGCCAGACACCTTATACAGGAGTGTTCCTGCTGGCATCACGTTGGTCTATGGGACAGAGCTCCCAGAGGAAGGAGCAGGCAGCCATCTTTGCTGTTCTGCAGCCTCCATTGGTGACATATCCAGCTGCAGGAGGGAGCCAGGAAAAATAGGGTATGGAGTGGACCCCCAGAAAACTGCAGCAGCCCTGTGGAAGAGGGGGCTGGCTGTTAAAAGAAAAACAAACAGAAAGCAACAACAACGATCGACAAAAAAGTCCCCACAAAAACCCCATCCAAAGGTCGGCAGCCTCAAAGATTGAAGGTAGATAAAATCACGAAGATGATAAAGAATCAATGAGAAAACCGGAAAACTCAAAAAGCCAAAATGCCTCTTCTCCTCCAAAAGATTGAAACACCACTTCCGCAAGGGCACAGAACTGGGCTGAGGCTGAGATGGATGAACTGACGGAAGTAAGTTTCAGAAGGTGGATAGTAATGAACTTTACTGAGCTAAAGGATCATGTTCTAACCCAATGTAAAGAAGCTAAGAACCGTGATAAAACACTATAGTAGCTGTTAATCAGAATAACTAGTTTAGAGAGGAACATAAATGAGCTGAAAAATACAACATGAAAACTTCACAATGCAACCACAAATATCAATAGCCAAATAGACCAAGAGGAAGAAAGAATTTCAGAGCTTGAAGACCATCTTGCTGAAATAAGACAGGCAGACAAGATTAGAGGAAAAAAATGAAAAAGAATGAACAAAACATCTGAGAACTATGGGATAATGTAAAAAGACTGAACCTCTAAGTGGTTGGGGTACCTGAAAGAGATGGGGAAGGTGAAACCAAGTTGGAAAACATACTTCAGGATATCATCCAGGAGAACTTCCACAACCCAGCAATACAGGCCAACATTCAAATTCAGGAAATCCAGAGAACCCCAGTAAGACACTCCCTGAGAAGATCAACCCCAAGATGCATAATCTTCAGATTCTCAAAGGTCAAAATGAAAGAAAAAGTGTTAAGGGCAGTCAGAGAGGAAGGCCAGGTCACCTACAAAGGGAAGCTCATCAGATTAACAGTGGATCTCTCAGCAGAAACCCTATACGCCAGAAGAGAGTGGGGGCCCATATTCAATATTCTTAAAGAATTTCCAACCCAGTATTTCCTATCTGGCAAAACTAAGATTCATAAGTGAAGGAGTAATAGAATCCTTTTCAGACAAGCAAATGCTGAGGGAATTCACATCACCAGGCTTGCCTTGCAAGAGCTCCTGAAGGAAGCACTAAATATGGAAAGGAAAAATCATTACCAGCCACTACAAAAACACACTGATGTATACAGACCAATGACACTATGAAGCAACTACATCAATAAGTCTGAAAAATAACCAGCTAGCATCATGATGACAGGATCAAATTCACACATAACAATATCAACCTTAAATGTAAATGGGTTAAATGCCCCAATTAAAAGACACAGAATGGCAAGCTGGATAAAGAGTCAAGACCCATTGATGTGTTATATTCAAGAGACCCATCTCATGTGCAAAGACACACATAGGCTCAAAATAAAGGGAGGGAGGAAAATTTATCAAGCAAATGGAAAACAGAAAAAGGCGGAGGTTGCAATCCAAGTTTATAACAAAGCAGGCTTGAAGCCAACAAAGATAAAAAAAAGACAAAAAAGAGCATTACACAATGGTAAAGGGTTCAATTCAACAAGAAGAGCTAACTGTCCTAAATATATGTGAACCCAATACAGGAGCACCCAGATTCACAAAACAAGTTCTTAGAGACCTCCAAAGAGACTTAGACTCCCACACAACAATAGTGGGAGACTTTAACACCCACTGTCAACATTAGACAGATCTTCAAGACAGAAAATTAATAAAGATATTCAGGACTTGAACTCAGCTCTCCGTCAAGTGGACCTGATAGATAGCTACAGGACTCTACAACCCAAAACAACATAATATACATTCTTCTCAGTGCCACATGGCACTTACTCTAAAATCGATCACATAATTTGAAGTAAAACAATCCTCAGCAAATGCAAAAGAACTGAAATCATAACAGTCTCTTACAATCAAATTAGAACTCAAGATTAAGAAACTCATTTTAAACCACACAACTGTATGGAAATTGAGCAACCTGCTCCTGAATGACTTCTGGGTAAGTAATGAAATTAAGGCAGAAATCAAGTTCTTTAAAACCAATGAGAACCAAGGGACAATGTACCAGAATCTCTGGGATGCAGTTAAAGCAATGTTACGAGGGAAATCTATAGCACTAAACTCCCACATCAAAAAGCTAGAAAGATCTCAAGTTGACATTCTAACATGACAACTGAAAGAACTAGAGAACCAAGAGCAAACAAACCCTAAAGCTAGCAGAAGACAAGAAATAACCAAGATAAGAGTGGAACTGAAGGAGACAGAGACATGAAAAACCCTTCAAAAAAAATCAACAAATACATGTTTTTGAAAAAATTAATAAAATACACCACTAACTAGATTAATAAAGAAGAAAAGAGAGAAGAATCAAATAGACACAATAAAAATGATAATGGGATATCACTACTGACTGCACAGAAATACAAACAACCATCAGAGGGTACTATGAACACATGTATGCACATAAACTAGAGAATCTAGAAGAAATGAATAAATTCCTGGACACATACACTCTCTAAGACTGAACCAGGAAGAAGTTGAATCCCTGAATAGGCCAAAAACAAGTTCTAAAATTGAGGCAGTAAAAAAAAAAAAAAAAAAAAGCCTAAAAAGCCTCAAACCAGATGGATTTACAGCTGAATTCTACCAGAGGTACAAAGAAGAGCTGGGACCATTTCCTTTTAATCTATTCCAAACAATTGAGGAGGAGAGACTTCTCTCTAACTCATTCTATGAGGCCAGCCTCATCCTGACACCAAAACCTGTCAGAGATATAACAGAAAAAGAAAACTTCTGGCCAATATCTCTAATGAACATTGATACAGAAATCCCCAGTAAAATACTGGCAAACTGAATTCAGCAGCACATCAAAAAGCTTATCCACTCTGATCAAGCTGACTCATCCGTGGGTTGCAAACGTCGTTCAACATATGCAAAACAATAAATGTAATTCATCACATAAACAGAACTAATGACAAAAACCACATGATTATCTCAATAGACACAGAAAAAGCCTTTGATAAAATTCAACATACCTTCACGTTAAAAACTCTCAATAAACTAGGTATTGATGGAACATACTTCAAAATAATAAGAGCCATTTATGACAAACACACAGTCAATATCATACTGAATGGGCAAAAGCCGGAAGCATTCCCCTTGAAAACTGGCACAAGGCAAGGATGTCATCTCTTACCACTCCTATTCAACATATTATTGGAAGTTCTGGCCAGGGCAATCAGGCAAGAGAATGAAATAAAGAGTATTCAAGTAGGAAGAGAGGAAATCAAACTGTATCTGTTTGCAGATGACATGATCTTATATTTAGAAAACCCCATCTTCTCAGCCCCAAAGCTTCTTAAGCTGATAAGCAACTTTAGCAAATTCTCAGGATACAAAATTAATCTGCAAAAATGACAAGCATTCCTGTACACCAGCAATAGACAAGCAGAGAGCCAAATCATGAATGAAT